CTATGGTGTATATTTTATCCTAACTAGATGCAATTTACTTAAATAAGGCAATTTAATCAGTATTTAGTAAATTTGTCATTTGATATTGTAGATTCTTTCATCATATTTCACTTTAATCAAGAAAGGTAACACCTGTGGTTTATTCACAAAAGCTTCTTTTGTTAAATGAACACCCGCAGGCCATGAAGCAATTACATTTGTTGCTTGTACCAAAGTAGGAGGCACTTAAATAGACCTTAGTAGGGATAGATGAGAACTTGCAGACTTTATTCTTTTGTCCAGCACCGAGATTAGTTCTTATCATAGCTCAAGAAGGAAGCCTCTGAACTGAAAAGAAAAGATGGGAATGATTTAAAGTTCTTCTTAAGTTTGAAACTTTGATATTGCTGGAGGTGATGTGAATACCTGTGACCTTACGAAAGTTCAAACTTCATCTACTCCCAGCTGATTGTACACGCTGATGTTCTTTGACAAACACAGACTGCTTGGAATTCCAAAAGGAGAGACTGCAAGAGATAATTCTCCACTTATTTATTAAAAATTCCCATTTACCCATCTTCAATACCCACCCCCCCAAGGTCCCCCAAAATCACAAACCAAAAAGACTCCCCGACAAAATAAAACAACCAAAAAAAAGCCTATTTTCATGTAGTTGGGTTTGGGGGTATTTTTGAGGCAGATCATTTGATCTGTTAATCTTATTTGCAGTATATTAGTTTTCTAGTATGCCAGTTGAAGCAATGAAGGCATCTCATCTCTGGGTTTTGAAGTTAGTGAGATTCCTCAAAGAACAAAGTTTGGCATCGTGTAACAAGACCAAAAGAAAGTAATTCTTTGTTGACGCCCCCCCCTTTATGTAAATTAATGTTCTATGCTAGTAAATATGCATCAAATACTGACCTGTACTTCAGTTTTGCCACTTTAACTATACCACTAAGTAAATGACAGCAGCCCTGCAAAATTAGCCAGTTTGCCACAGTGGAAAAACTCTTATTTATCTGAGCTGAAACAGAATAAGCTACTGCTACAAGCGGAGTTGTTCTCAATGTGAATCTTGCTCTGCTGGTCTGTCTGCTCCTGCAGGAGAGCCCCAGAGCCTCGGAAGGGAGAAGGGGGAAGAGTCGCGTGTCTGATCTGTGTCCCGTATTCTCATGCATATAAGCTGCCCCTCGGATAACCGGTTCTGCCTGACAACTGCTGTTCCTTGGAAATAAATCCTCAGATAATCTGCACAAAACCAGAGGCACAAGGGTTGCTGAGGCAAAGGGAGTAGTCTGCGGCCGATCAGAGGCAGCCTGTTTTCGCGGGAAACTGCACTGCTGTGGGACCGCTGGTTTTGAGTGTGACCCACTGGTTAGTTATGGGAAAACTCAGTTGTTGGGCTTGTGAGGCTTTATCTTAGTTCTGGTCTATGTGTAAGGGAGAACTAAATTGCTGCCCAGCCTAAGTTAAATGCTTTTGGCACACTTGTCAATATTTTTTTTGTATTCACAGTCTTGCTGTGTGTAGTAATGGTAACTGTGATTTCAGTTGAATGTTTTAAGATACAATTAATTTTGTCTAAGAGGCCATGGTCCATGGCCTGTAGATACCAAAATACAGCGTTGTGAATTGTCAAGCCAGTGGCTTTCCCATTGCCTTGGGATTTTTGGCAGTAGCAGCCTATTGCTGTATAATTAATATATTCTTACTACAAATACAAGTTTTCAATAGCTAATTTTTTTCTTTGGTTAAAAATGTATCTTATTGCCAGCTACTGTCCTTGCATAGCTTTGAAGCATTTCAGATTGGGTCCCGATTCTGCAAAGGTCGATACTCAAAGTTAACTTTATTCAGTGTGAGTAATCCCACTGAAATCAGTGATGTGGTCTAGAAATAGCTTGGTGCATAAACCCTTGAAGGATTCTGGCTTTAGCCTGTATTTCAAAGGGGTGTAAACAAGTTTTGTTTTTTTTTTTTTTAATTAATGATTACGGCCTGTCACTGGTATTTGGTTTTACATTTTCATGTAATTCATGTGATTTTTATTGCTTGTCTTAATTCTAGGTTGTAGTGAAGTGCCTAGATGATGGACAGGCACCATACAAAGGTATTACACTGTATTATCTCCAGATGAATCATACATTGTGACAGTACTCCTAACGACAAATTTAGAGGTATAGGGTCCTGTCATACCCTACGGAAAACTACAAAAGTTACCATAAGTGGTGAATTTCAGGATATAGCAATATACATTATTGTAAATGTTCTATCTGGAATGCCAACTATGAACATCTTGTCTAGACAAGTAATTATTATTAGTAGTAGAAGTACTAAGTGATATGGCACAGCTGGCAAAAGCACTTTGTTGTATTTTTTTATACTTCTGGAGCATGGAAGAAAGATGGGAAGGTCTAGAACTATTTGGATATCCCTGTGTTATGAGTGGGTCCTTATTTCACATAGTAACAGATGAGCTTCACTTTCTGCCTGTGAATTGGGGAAATGTGAGAAAAAATGGGAACCAGTAAAGTAAAGCGGGAGCTGATAGTGTCCCATGTGTGAAACAGCACATTGCAAGAAGTGATGCTTTTTCAGAAAGGTGAAATGTTAATGTGGGTTTGCTTTTTTTATTTCATAAGAAAAATCTTCCTTTCATAGTAATTCATGGTTCTCCTGTTTGCTGAGATAGTCTTTCACAATGACGGTAGTTTGATGTCCAATTTGTAATTCGGGTAGGTGCTGGACAGGAGAGTTTGCACCAGAAGGGTCACAACGCTGCTTTGCATTGCAGCATGCACCTGGAAAACAAACTCATGTAAGATGTGGACACAGTGAATGCTTATGCAAATAAGTGAAGATGAATATCCAACTCCACTGACAATTGCTGGTGGACACTCTAAACAGGCTGTATTCCACAGAATTTTTGAGGAAAACAGGCATGTCACTATATTCTCAAATAGGGACAGTTCAAAAACACATGTCCATGTGTGATGAGCTGTATATTCCACACAGGTCATTTGACTCTGGATAGAATTTTTTAAAAAAAATTTATTTATTTTAAATTGACTTCTGGTTAGGGTAGGATGAGGGCTGAAGTCATCTAGCTGAAACCAACTGGCCTTCCCAGAGAAAGCACTTCCATGCACGTGCCAGCAATCTGATAAGCATCCCAAATAACAAAGGTGGCAGAACAGCTGAATATGAAATTCCTGTACTGAAGGACTGGGAGACCGAGAAGTAAAGGAATAGCAGATCAGTTTAAAACCAACCAGGCAGCACTCCTTTATACGGGAGACTGCGGAAGGAGTATCAGCAGGTTTCAAAAGGGTTTAGACGTATTGCTGGTCTACAGCTCCACGTATAGATTCTCAAATGATGAGGTAGGGAAACATGCCCTCAGACATGCCTAACGCACCTAACCTGGATACCAGAGAATCACGGGGGGGTTGGGAGAAGATGGACAGGCTCGCGTATGCTTTCCATGATGAATATCTCCCTTCACCACTGTCAGAGACAGTCTTGGTTCTTCATCTGTACCTTATACATTCGCTAGAGCTCAACACAGGGACTGCGGGGTAGTGTGCTATCTGCAGCCCCCGCTCTGGTAACAGGCAGTGGGAGCATCACTAAGCGAGAGCCCAAAAGCCTTAGGCAAAGACAAGGGTCCCAAGGAGTGTCACCTGGCCAGATACCTATAAGGACCAACAATTAAACTTCAACTGCATTTTCCCCAAATATTTATCTGGGGGACCTGTTTTTGTTCTTAATGGTTTACATCCAGAGTTTACTACTAGAGTGGTATTTTATTTTGTCTGTTATCCTTGAATTCTGTATATGTAGGCTCTTGTATTTAGGAGTCTAAGTGGCTTATTTCTAAAACATTAATGTTTATACTGTTAAAACTCTTGAGTTTCATTTGAAATTGGTGGGGTTTTATTTTATTTCCTGCATTATTTTTTTCTCTGAATTGTGTACATAAGTAATGTTCCGTAGTATTTGGTTTTGGAAAAATGTACACTAACTTAAAGTCCACGTTAAATATTATATAGATTGAGAAACATTGGTACTTTTAAATTTTCAGCCTGGTTTAGAATTTTAGGAAGAAAAACAGATTAGAAAAAAAAAAAATTTCATTTGGTAACTTGTAAGAGGTGATTTATATCTATCCAAAACGTTTTTATAAAAACATATCAAAATACTGTTGTATATTCCAAGTCGAAATCTTTGTTTAAGACTTATAGTAGCAACTTTTTCATATATGAAAGCTTTATACTCTTATTTAGGTTGCTATTTCTTATTTTGTCATTGAGTCAGTCAGTGAATGCCATGCATCTATGGTATGTAATATAGTTAATGCATAATATATATAGGCAATGAAAGGTCTTTGTCATATAGTATAAGGTCACCATCATTAATTTTCAAATTATAAAAAGGGATTTGCTGTTTTGTGATCATCATTATTGCAATATAATGTGTTGTGGATTCTGCCTGCACATAGAATGAACTGTGATCTTAATTAGAACTTTGACAAGCCTACTCCGATAAAATGATGAGATTATTCGTAATTGATGTCACAATCAATTACCAGTTAGTTCATCATGAATCTACTAACAGGTCTAGCCTTGGTGCTGGCCCCAGGATGTTGATGAGTGTGTGGCTGCCCTGTTCATGCTGTTACTGCGACAGGAGGGCAGATTTTCAGTCAACATCCTAATGACCTCTTTTGAAGTCTATTAAATTAATGACCCTGTCACATTGGTCTAACCTCTTACATCTTCATTTTGGATTTTTTGTTGCAAACCATTGTTTTTTGAGCACATGATAGAACAGATACTTTGGAGCACTCCTTCTCATCCCTCCAGATCTGGCACTGTCTTACAAGATTCAATAAAAAATTAGTTCATTATACAGTCATGAAATACAGAACACAGAAATCAGAAAATATATTGTAAGGCAAACTATGCTTAATACCATTCTATTCCATTTTGTTTTTACATGTCGATCTTGCTTAATCATAGGTGCCTAAAGGACATGTTTGGTTAGAAGGTGATAATCTCAGGAATTCTACAGATTCCAGGTGCTACGGACCTGTTCCTTACGGACTGATAAGAGGACGCATTTGTTTTAAGGTATATATAGCATCTAAAAATAGTTGCATTAATACATTTTTAATGCCTGGATGTTAGGTATTAAAACTTGCCTCCTTAACCGTCCGGCTGAAGCAAATGTAAAGGAAAGCCTGAACATGCCGGCCACTTGCTGTATAAGGATAATTCTGCAATGGTGGGGGTGTTCTGAGAGGGGACCTTTTTTTTTTTTTTGGAGCAGCACTCTGAGCAGTCATTGCCTCTGAAAACTGAATGAAAACTGAAGCAAATCCAAACCTGATAAAAACATAAACATACGCAGGCACACATACGCCTTGCTGCATGGATATACATTCTCTCCTTCATTTGATTCTTGCCTCTGCAAAATGGTAGAAAAGGGCAGCTCCATATTTCACTGTTACTGTAATTGGAGAAGTGTAGTTCCATAGCTCAAAAAACAAAGATGCAGGAAAAGGTTATCTTTCTAGGACTTGCATACGTACTTTAGACATGTAGGCTGGCCTTGCTGCTTTCTAAACTAAGTCTGTGAAAAAGCCTTGGCACTAAAGTCAAATCTGTGCCACTGTAATTGCCCAACACATTTTTATTTAAAAAAAAATGCTTTGAATTAGTATTATTGTATAAACCTCCATGGTTCCTTCTGCTTCAAGAATTCTACAGCTTTATTTCACACTAAATTACTTTTTCATATTATCTGCATTATTAATTTACTCATTTACCAAAAAGAAGAAACTAAGACAATTTCTTCTCTGTAACAAGTTTAATCTTAGAAACAAAGGAGTATGTATTTATTAGAGACTTATGCACCAGCTTGTACAAAGCTAGATATAAAATGGTGCCATTCAGAACAATAAAAAAAGGCTTTCAAAACTGTTCTCCATATATTGCAACACATCCACAAAAACATAATTTAGCACAGCTGTGTTACACACAGGGAAGATTAGATCTTTCTAATTTAACAAAGTTTTATATACTTAATTGACACTTTTTATGAACACAGCTTAGGACTGTTCAAAAAACCTTGCAGCTATTGCCCATAATCACTAATTGCTTACTAAACCTCAAATAACATGTCCCCTTCAGCCCCACCACCGAGTTGTGTCTGACCTCTGTTCTTTCTGGATAGCGTTTGCTTTGAGTTCTTCCCTAGTGTTTATTGAGTGCTCTGTTCCTTCTCTGTATTGTTTGCCCAGCCATGTACACCAGAGGAAAAAATGCTGATTCTAAATAGGGCTATTTTTATGACCCAAGTTTTAGCTTGGATTATTAACTGCTAACACACAAATGAGGCTAATATGCTGACAGGCCTCTTAATAAGAATGTGGTATTAATAATCCAACTGAAAAAAAAATAATCACCAACTGATGTACTAGTATAGAAAAACTGCTGTTTACTACTTTAAGGGGAGTGTTAGCAAATAATATATGTATTAAGAACCTGTGTACGTGGACAGCCATAGTTATTCACAGCATCTCTCCAAAGCAATAAATTTGTCCAGCTTGTACCACAACAACAAAGATATTTTGAGAGACTTCCATGAAGTGACTGCCAGAACCAAACCCTAACTTTGGCAAGCAGTAAACTGTAAAATGAATGGAATTTACACACAGATATTACATATCGAAGTAGTACTTTAGGACTCGAGAATATTGTCTGTTTAAAAAGACAGTACGCAATCACTTCATGCTTAATCAAAAGAATGATTTAACTAGATTTTATAGCAGTTGTTTTACCGTGGTGCATAGGGCAGTGATTATTAACATTTTAATGAGATTTAAGTATATGCTGCCTAACAAAAGAAAAAATGAGATTATTCTTCAAATGAGTGTTTATAGCTTGGGTTGTTTATGGCAATTCACATTAGAATGCAGTCATCTTGCTATTGTGTGTTGCTATTGAACATTATGGCAAAAGGCAGCAGGGTAGGGCTAGTCCGCATGATGGTAGTTAATTAGTAGACCACTGGCCAAGAAGCCTATATATGCTTTTTAATGTAGTAAGGCTTGGCTTCTCTTTCATGAAAAATCTTTTACTGCCTCAAGAATGGAAGCTTAAAGTGGATTTTAGAGAAGCCGATGTAACAGTGCCTTTGAATGCTATGTTACATTTTTAGTAATGGACGCAAAAAAATCTAATTTGGAAGTAACGGATTTCAATAGGAGAGAGGTTGTACTGAGTTTGTTTAGGCAACCTATTCTTGGCAAAACATCAATGTTAATTCTGTAGTTTATCTGTGAAGTTTAGACCTAAGATTCTCAGTTAACGTTGGTGCACCAGTTTTTAACCCATACAGAAATAATGATACTTGATTATATTTGCCCCTTTTCCTCCCTGCCAGCATATCAACTGCCACTCGGAGACAAGTTCATTCCATAAAAAGGCCACTGAAATCAAAGTAGCTGCAAATTCAGTAAAAGCCTAGGGAGTCCCATGTTGACAGAACTCGGGCTTCATCCTGTCCTAGATAGGATATCCTGTGCATTCCCGGGACTTAGGCTCCATGTCAAAAATAGATCTGTAGTGTATCTTCAAAAGAGCTAGTTAGCCCCATTTATCCCCCATCCATCAGATCAAATCTATGTAGGCCAAACCGAAGAGGAAATAGCTACTAATTGGACTAGCCAGTTTGAACCAACAAGTCACAGTCAACTTCTCTCATAACTTTCAAAGACTTGGGAATTACTACACACAGCGGCGTGTCTTTGTTTCACAGAGAAGGCTTGGTCCACCTCCTCTCCAACCATGAATGTTGTTTCTCACATTCTCTCCTGCACACAGACTAGATAAAACAGAATTTTCATTCTAACTCCTACCACTAAGACTACTGTGATGAACTTGCAACTGAATTGTCAAAACAGTATTCAAACCAAATTTGATTACTTTCACTGAAAGAAAGTCAAGTTGTAATAGGTGTGATCTGACTTGCCTGAAATGAGATTTGTGCCGTAGTGAATGGCCTAAGAAACTCCTTCTCCGGGCCTTTACTCAGATCAGCTTCGATTTGTAATATGGGATATTCGTATTCCCTTTTATTCCTGTTTGCCTTCGAGGCCAAACAAAGACTTGACACCCAGCCTGCAGCCAGCACAGGCCCTCTGGAGAGCCTTCAATTCTGTGGCTTTGCTTCTAACCAAGATCACAAATATCCTTCTGTTGTTAGTTCCTATCTCTATAATAATTTGTGTGGAACTTAAAATAGCTCACTGGCTAATATGCATAGAGAGACACGATGTTACCTCTATGTATAGCAGTAGCTGTTCCTCATGCTCTTTCCTAACTGCACATGCCAAAAAAGACATGTATTTTCTAAGATACTTGCACAAGAGAGCTTTGAGCTTTTTTCAGATCCACAGAACTTGAGGTCCTGGGAATGACTCATGCTCCTGTCTTCCCGAGGGTCTGGGCACAATCCAACTGATGGCAACTTAGCACAGCGCTGCACAGGGCCGGAGAGAGGCGAGCTGAGGGAGCTTCTAGCAGTGCGCGGCCCCAGTCTAGTAGTAAGCTGATGCTATGTCCATCCTTAACTGACTGCCTTCTCTGTCATTGTCTGGGGACAAATCATGGCATTTGAAATATTGAGCCTTGGCACTGTGCTTCCTCTTTTAAACTGAGAAAATGACTTTTTCACTCCACAAAGAAAGCAGCAAAAGCTCCTGTGCGTGGATGTGCCCTGAACTCAGTTAAAGAGTTGCTGTTGCTGGAAGGTGACTGCATACCTTCCTTAAAATCAAATTTTAAGGAAAAATGAGCAAGATAAACATCGTACTGACAGATGCTTTGGGAACAAGGTAGTGCATCATCTTTCTCCGTCGAGGTTGCTTGATCTTGAGCAGGGGCTGTGAGGTTTTTATGGGATTAGAGCCACAGAGAGCTTTCCTTCAACATCATCTCTTTTCCTTCTTCCTGCTGATCCCCTCGTGCCGTCTTTGAAAGAATGTGTTGTGAAGAGACACAGGCAGTCAAGGGAGACAAAGGACAAAGTGTAAAAGAATGTCCTTGATTCCCTATAACTTTTTTTTGCATCCAAGACCAGCCTCCATGTAATTAGTGAATGTTCAGAGGAAAGTACTCCTGGGATCATTCAGTAGTATGGACAGCTATATAGTTAATTTCTGGAGAGAAAGCCTTTTCTTACTGGTAAGCATCATTCTCTGATACTTGTGCTCGTACTTGGTCATGATTTGTGCTCCTTTTTCCCCTTCTCAGAGGAGCCCCTTGGTTGGGAGCCCCTAATGGTGGCAGGCACTCCACCCCTTTATACCTATTTGCATGGTATAAGCTTACCTATAAGTCTATGGAATTTTTCTCCCAAGGTTTGGTGTTTGCAGTTCAAATGCCGACCTTGAAAATACACATGTACATCTCACAGCACTACTTTCACTGGGAGGTGATGTTCGTAGTATTCCTTCTTGTAGATGGATCAAAAATACGTACTTTGTCTTTTAAGTTGTTAAGAGGTTTACAAGCTAGAAAACTTTGAATTTGAAAGATATTTGCTAGGAATGTATTTATTTCCAAGGCTGCAAAAAAAAAAAAAAAAAAGTAATTTTGAGGCTCTCCATAGCAAAGCATGCTGTGTATAAATTAGTGTTGTCTCCAGCCACTATGGAATGATGATTCCTCCTCATATATAGTATTTATTACTCCTGGTAAAACGAACACACAGGTGAGAAAAGTTCCTATACCCTGGCAACGAAAGAGCTAAAAAATTACACCCTTTATGAAACAATTACAACAATAACAAATGAAAATACTGAACTTTGAGTTGTAATTAAAACCTCTTGTAACTATATTTTATTTTACAGATATGGCCTCTGAATGACTTTGGATTTCTACGTGCAAGCCCCAATGGCCATAGATTTCTTGATGATTAAAAGATTTTAGTGACTGTTGCCAGCTTTCAAAATATTTTCTACTAAAATCAATGGAACTATTTTTGTTTATTCTAAACACAAGTATTACTTGACAAAGATGTCTCTTTCTGAGAATACATCTAACTTGAAAGTGGGAGTGATACACTGCTGTCATCAACAAAAATGATAATGCCTCTTACTCTGTTTCCTCTGGCTATTCATACTAAGTGCTCGAGTTTATGAGAAAGTTCTGGTTTTTACTACAAGCCAGGGTTAGCATTGACCGTTAACAAGGGATCAAAAACGCACAATGCACTATTATGTTGTCACACATCCAGAGCCACACATAGGCTATGCCTCCATTAGCAGGTAGTGTGGCATGTAAGGATTGGAACCGAAAACAGTACCAGTGGGGTTCCAGATCTGCCAGTCACTTGTATGTGTTTTGTAGGGTTTTCCTTAAACTGGCTTTAGTTTGGCCCAGTGGGCTGGCTGCCCAGTAGGGCCCAGAGCACGGCTTCCCAGTTAGTTTTCATCTAAAGAATGAAGACTGCATTTGTTTAGATGATGGAGAGAGTCAATTAAAAACGTGCTTCTGCTCCAAGCAGAAAAGTTACTGTAGATGCCACTGTTACAGTCCAGCGCACGGGCACTGGACCTCTTACTCAGTACCCAACCAACCAGCCTGTTACATCTGCAAGTCTCTGCTGCCTCTTTCCAAGGCTCAAGTCCTTGTGAGGATTTAATGAAGTTAAATATTTAGCACAGAAATTGAAAATGTTCCTGTTTCCCATTAACGCCCCTTACTCTTCGTTATCTTCAAAGCATTCTCACATCTATGCCTCCTGATTAAATTTTGTCATCTGAGCTGTTAAAAGGATTTAACCTAAGAGGTAGGGCCCAAGCTATAGTTGATATAGACTGAGACTGAAAGAAGCTACTCCGTTGTTTGCTGGGAAAAAATGTCATTTAGATCATGAGATGTATTCCAATTGTACCAAACTTAGTGTTTTTAATAATAAGTGCGGGTTTTTAATAACTAGCTCTCTAGCTGCAGAAGGAAAAAAAAACAAGCCTCACATCTGCAGAGCTATGTTAGCAAATGGGCACATTTCCTTTCTTCAGGCTGATTGAACTTGTTCTTGCAGCGCCCCCCTTTTCTTTAACATACATTTCTTTAGCAGATGTGGTCCCCTGTTTGTCCAGTCTTTTTAATTTTGTAACTCTTAATGTTCTTGATTGAAACAATCATTGAAGGATCTCGATGACAAGTGAACATGTGTCACAACAAACCAAAGATACATCTTTGGTTTCACTCTTGAAGACAGTGTAATTCCCACCACATCGACATGAAAGAGTATAACATTGTTCATCTGCCAAAAAAGGAAACAAAAAAGCCTTTAGTGCTTAAGAAGAATCAAGAATTTATTTTGGATTTTCTTCACAAAGCTGCTCTTAATAACAAATGACCTCCCACTGCTGCATTGTAAATATCAGTACCTGTGCTACCATTTGTTGCTCAAAAAATAACTATACTCTTAAAATGTTTCAGTGACTGTGAGGCATTCTTAGACCAAACAGCCAGGGTTAGTGTAGTCTCTTTAAAAAAAGCAAATAATAAGAAGGTGCACATCAGTGAAACAGACAGATATTAAAAGAAAAAACTGAGGGGTGTTAGTCATACATAGGACAGATCAAGGATGGTTCCAAAACAGACTGCTAACCCAGGAAACAAAAATAAAACAGAAGAAAGGAAAGTAGATAGGATTTTCCTGCCACAGCTTAAAAAAAATAGTAAAAAAAAATCAGCCATTCATTCACAAAGCAACTAAATGATAAAAGCTATAATAACATAAAGGAGGGAAGTAACACACTATCAGATAAAAAAAATCTGTATGAAAACACTTGCATTCTACCATCACAGAAAGAGCGAGAAGATGCATGAGAGATTTGGGAAGAATCTGCAAATCTGAATACTCAATTACGCTACAAGAAGAGAGTGATGTGAAAAGTGGTACTGCAAGATGGAGAGGGGGGGAGATGAAGAAGGAATGCAAAATAAGTATGACAGAAAGTTAAATTCCAATTCAGGTAATCACAGAAAACAGAATAGCTAAATCTGAGGCAAATATAAAAAAAAGCAGAACTTACAAAAAGACAACATAATGGTATAAAATGCAGAAAAAATAGAAAACATTTGCAGTGAGAATGAAAAGCACTGGGAACAAGGAGAAGGGCACTCGTACCTTCATTCCAGGACATATCCTCAAGATAAATTTGTGCATGTAGTGGCCATTCTTTTGTCAGATTATCTTCTATAAAGAAAACACGATAGATGTTCAACCCTGATAAGATACAGGTCCTTATTTCTTCCTGATAAATTAACAGTTTAAACACCTAGCAGTCAATCTGGTCCCTACTAGCAAGTCACACTAGACCACGTTATCAGTTAAAACCGCAGTTCTCTAGAATTTTGGTTTCTGTATCTCTGCATAAGCTGGCCAATGTCCTGCTGTAGCCAGAAGTAAATGGTGACGATGTATTACTGAAATTAAGACACTACTGGAACCAGTACTTTTGCGCATCCCAAACAATTATGTGAAATTAGGGGCAAACTTTTGTATTGATATAAATGCTTTTTAAAAGCCTGGCTGTAACTACACTTCCACAAGCTGAAATTGTGAATTGTCTACTTACCTGTACTTTTCACATAATCATAGAATGGTTGAAGTCAGAAGGGACCTCTCAAGATCACCTAATCGAACCCTCCTGCACAAACAGGGTCAGCTACAGCAGGTGGCCCAGGACCATGTCCAGTCAGATTTTAAATATCTTCACAGATGAAGACCCCACAATCTTTCTCCTCTCTAGAGGAGAGGCAACCCACTCTCCTCTACAAAGGAGAAGCCAAATAAATCCACCCCATTAAGCACCAAATAAATGTTAGGGTTGTGTGTGAGAACACCACAAAGATTCCTGCCAAAAAGATATTCCTAACAAAAGATAAATGAACAACACTTTTAGGGGAAGACTAGTCCAAGTGTTCTATAATGATAAAGTGTCAGCACAGACAGAAGGTCAGTTCTGGCCCGCACCCGTGAGATCTGTTGCCATTTCATCCCCCAGATTCTTCCAACATTGAGTACAGCATGAAATGAAAAGTATTCAATACAACTGAAATTATCAGATGCAAACTGTGTAATAGCACACTTATATTTGATGTACAAAGTTCACACTAAGTTCTTTAACATGACAATATAAGATTTTGTCAACAGAGTTACAAGTGAAGCTATAAAAGGTAATATGAAAAAAAAAGATAAAAAAAAGGATGTAAACCCCTTACAATTTACTACACAAAACCTTCCAGCTGCTGCCCGACCCTGGAAGCTCCAACTCTCCAGAAGCTGTATTTTAAAGAACGAGAAACACCTGAAAGCTCATCTTTAGCACATACACAGAAATGCCTTTGGCAAGACTCAGGAGCCTAGTGCTTATTTAAGGTTTAAATCGGGTTGTTATTGAGAAAGTAGGTGTTCCTTCTCTTGGTGAGTTTTTAAAAGTTTTATAGTCAAACAACATCAAGCTTTGTAGAGCATATAGCGTTGTCTACGGCTTGCTATGAAAAGTAAGTTGGCAGTGAAAGCATTTCTTATTCCACAACTACTCACTAAGCACTTGCTGAGAAGTCAGAGACCCCGATTATTTTATGTTATTTTAATTCCCAAGAGATTGCCTTACCTAATCACTCGATTGTGAGGGATTCTAAATGGTTCCCAACTGCTTCTACGTAACTGCTCTTTGCTCTGGACCGAGAAGTAGAAATAAGGGCCTTCCAGCTACTTCCTCCTATAACACCCTGGAAAAACTGCCCATCTCCAACCTTTCTCTGATCAGATAATGGACTATCTCCTTCTTTACCGCCAAACATCATCCTCTGATTGTAAGCATCTTCCTCTTCAAAAGCTGATACCAGATTTTGAACAGTGAAGCACTGATTCAGAACAGATACACATCAGTATTCTATTAGTTGATTTCACAGGTTAACCATGTAAAGCAAGCTGTTCACAAGTAAGATTCCTAACTTACAGCAAGTGTAAGTTGTTGCAAAGAAGTTTAAGGCAACTATGAAAGTATAATCCTAGCAACAGCTAATCACAGCTATCCCTGTAGCTAATTATTTAAATTAGCTGTAAAATCTAACCAATCTGTTTTGCTGGGGTATTTTTTTTTAATTGTTCCTTTCATAGCTCTATCAGTTTTAAAAGTATAGTATCATAGGTAGAAGTATTAACGTAATGTACCAGTAATGAAATTAACCCCTTGCATTTTAACTATCCTTATGTATAATTGGGGACAAAAAGAGAAAACTTAATACTTACATTTTAGGTTTTTAAACTGGACATTTAAGGCCAGTTTAAAAAACAACAACCAACAACCAAATATTAAGTGCCAGTCTTTATTTTGCAACTAAATGAGTATTCTAATTTTAACAGAAATGTACATTATAGATCCTTGAGAATGAGCCTTATCTAAATTAGTTTTAATAAAGGAGATTAAAACAAATCTGACATTTTGGAAATAATGACAGAATCAATACAGCCTCTTTGATGTTACCTTTGCTGATCACCTATTTTGTAATGAAAAGGTCAGAATTAAAAGAAAATTAACCCGCTCACACCTAATACTTTACTGCTGCCAAAGAAAAGGAAAACAAATAATCAGCAAGAGTGTGAAGATGAAAGAAAACTGGAAGATACACCTGTCAGCCCGTCATTCTCATTGCTGTGCATGTTCTCAATTCCATACACAAGAGCTATGGGCAATATTTTAGTTATACAAAGTAACAACATTTTTCTTAATGCCTGATCGGAACATTAGTTAACTGTGTGAAATGTCCAAAATAAAATAAAATGTCAGATGGTCTTAACTCATGCCAAATATCTCTAATGTTACTTAGAGTTAGGCTGGTACAGCCTTCTAGCTACAAAACATAAGGATGGGAACAGTGAATGTCCTGCCAACGCCCCCAAAACCAGAGAGGCCTTTCCTCCAGCAGGTCTTGTGTGAGGTACAGATCCCTCCTTCTCCTTGAGGAAGAAGAAGAACAACAACAAAAAAAGCAGAGATCAAAATGAAGTCTGCCCACCTACCTACCTACCTACTTACCTACCTACCTTCAGGTTCTGCTCTCCACTGGGATGGAAGAAGACAATACTGTAACTGTGAGAACAGCATGAAAAAGGCAAGTCCATCCTATTTCACCTGTTTCTTTTTAAAAATTCACAAGGTAAAATGGTCTCTTAGGTTGTAGGAAGAACAGATTTTCCTAAGCTTCATTTATAGGTAGCAAAAAAAAGAGTTAAAAAGAAAGCAGGCTTTCCTATTTGGAATTCACGAAGCAGGATTTCACTCAGAACAAGTTTTATAGGATTGGCAGTAGAGGTCTGGGTCACGTCTTGCTGACAGAAAATACAAAAAGGGCAGATGGACCATATGCTGTGAAGAGAACTGGTGAGATGCAAATTCACAAGGTTACCATACTTCTGAAGTAAAGTTACTCACAAAGTAATGAAGTCGGCAGCTGAGGAAAAGTCTACCTTCTCTTCTATTCCAAACACAGTACAATATGAAGCCCAGCAAACAGAATTTCAACCAAGCTTTTCTAATTCATTACTGCAATTATGATTTTAAAATTAAAAAACAAATTAAAAAAAATATATCAACAGGCAAAACTCAGAAAATTCCCAGCCTGAACAGAGATTGTTATTCCTAGTCTGATGCTCAAGCCTAAGTCTTGCTCGTTATCTCAAAAGACGTAAATTTTCAATTAGTACCCTTGACTTGAGTCTCCAAACATAGCACATAATCCAGTAATGGCTCTCGTCAGTTTGTTTTGTACGCTGCACTTATTTGCTTATCTGGTTGAAGCAGGGGAAACTTATTTTCCAGAGTTGAACAAAGCTTTTTTATTTTCTAGTTCTCCTATTAAATACACTATACAATATAAGATACCTTAAGACAAAAGAAATCAATTTAGCCACTTATTTAAAAACAGCGGCACAGCCCAGTACAAGTTTGAGGAGCTCACAAGGAGAACTACACACCCACCGGTCTTCACAGAGTTGCGTTAGAGACTAGTATTTCTTGCGCTCACCCTTATTTAATCTACATCACTATTATTACAGCCACGACTCCCTCGTTAGTGGTTCTCTGAAGTAAAGTGGTGTCTGATTTTCACTCCCTTGCTGGAGGAGAAAGGTATTTAAGATGGTATTGTTACCAGTACTGAGTTCTGTGGTAGGGCTTACTTATACGTGACGTCTGCTCAAGCTGTAGAACTCCGTGAACGAAGATGTACTTTTTGAAACACATTCCTGAGCGCACAGGGAAAACTGTGAAGACCTGATCATCTACCATAACTTGAAAAACAAATTTTAATTCACAAGAAGTACAGCCTGCCCGGCTTTGCCATCTATTGGATTTGTCTGACAACAAGAGGTGAAAGGATTCTGCAGCTCCATTGTCTCAGCTGCAGGATCTAAGAAAACACTGGCATGCTCATCTGAGAGGTTTATGAGCCTGCAATTCAAAGAGATTAAAAGGAAAAATCTACTGAGATTCTTTCAGGCTACAGAACAACATTAAATAACTATTAGCAGCTTGGTTCAGTAAAGCTTTACTAGAGCCCTTGCTGGGTCATTCAGAAGTTGTAAAAGAGGAAAGGTATTTAAGTTTCACTTGAGGATACAATAAATATTTCTTGGGCTATTTAAGGCTGAGTTTTAGGGAAAGGGCTGCAAGCAGTAAATGGAAATTTAACCCTTTTAACAGTTTATGGTAATAGTAAAAATAGCCATAATGCTTACAAGATTTTTCTAGCTTTTTATCAGTCATATATTCTTAGGATTGATTTTTTTAAAAAAAAAAACAAACCCAAACACATAATGAAAAAAAGTTCAAGATACGTATTGTCAATGAAATACTGTTCATAGTATCTACTCAGTATCAAAATCATCACAGTACTGAAAACCTGTATGTTTTCACAAGTTAATTTTTTCTAATAAGCTGTTTAGTTTTTAAGCAATTACTTAAGTTTGAGTCTCTTGCATTAATTTAAAATAACCATGCTTACTTTAATTTAAATTATAAATAAGTCTTGTGTTAGGAATTTTCATAACAAAAAGCTATGTTTGTTAAGAAAATACAAAAAAAAAACCCTGCTTCACTTGTAGCCAATGCAGATTAGAATTAACTCCAAAGAGCTCTGGTAAAAGGCTTCCGTTCCAGCACTAGCGCAGGGTCTACAGCCGTAAAA